ACCTGTCTGTGGTTCCCGGGGGGAGCCGTTCCCTCCATAGGTGTCAAAGCCCATCAGCTCGGCCGTGCCGGGGGCTGGCGTCGGGGAGGCGGAAAACTCCTTTCAGCGCATCAGGGCTGGACCAAGCGCTGCTGCCAGTGTCGGGGACACCACTGGGGGTCCAGTCAGCCCTGAATTCCCTGTAAATAAGTGAAAGAAAAGCGTATTTTGGGTGAAGCACAGCACGTGCCTTTGCTGACGTGTGTTGAGCTCTTGTTGGTGTGTTGGTCGTCGTTCCCCAGCTCCGGCCTGGCCGGGAGCAGCTCCCTGCCTGCGGTGCACAGCGGGTTTTGGGAGGGGAGGAGATGGAGGTGCTGGGGAGGTGCGAGGGCTGAGCTGGTGGTAAAGCTTTCCCATTCCTCCAGGACGCAGCAGGGACCGGGAGGGGGGGGGGAGCACGTTTGGTGCCCTCTTCCGCCTGCTTCGAGCAAAGGGGCCGCGGGCTGAGCTGCCCGCGGGGTGCGGGGGCAGCCTAAAACCCTTAGCCTATAATTTCCTACCTCCAGCTCTTCTCTTTTTAGAGTAAAATGATATTTTGTGCTTTTCCACCCACAGGGCTGCCTTCCCCAGTCTGGACAGCTTCCTCTGAGCCCCGTGCGTGGCTGCTGGCGAGCATCGCACTTGCGCGGTACTGCACAGCCCTGATGCGGTGCTGAGCGCCCCGACACTGGGGCTGCCTCCAGGGCTTTTCCGACGCGCTATTAATTTTTTTTACAAAGCTGGGTTAGCAGATAGGCAGAGAAGGGTGTCCCGGTGCTGACCCCTGCTGCTAACAGCCACGGCGGTGCTTGCAGTCGAACAGTTTTTTCTATTCCTAGTACCAAAGTGCTGGTGTTTGGCTCCTCACGGCACAGCCTGTGACCCAGGGAAGGTCATCCTGCCCGAGCACTGGTACTTGGGTCCAGCGGGTCGCTGCAGTGATGCTGCGTCATCCCAGAAGTACTTAAAGCCCCCCCGCAGCCCCGTGACGTCCCTGATGCTGGTGGTGGGTTGCACCACCCCTCACCGCATGCGGGAAGGGACGAGCGATGGGCTGGGGGATGCCACGGGTGATGCTGGCATGTGAGATGGGTGTTTGGTGGGGGCATGAGCTGGTCTCCTGATGTCCAGGTCAGGATCAAGCCAGCGCCAGTTGGGGAAACACCAGCACCAGTTTAAGGGACCTGAGCTTCAGGCGGCCAAAATCGACCTCATCTGAATTTTTGCTTATTTTTTTTCACTTGCCGTGATGTGAAAAATATTTTCCAAGAAATTTACCATTTCTTCTTCCAATCGCACGTGCACAGAGTTTGGTCCCCAGAGGTCACTGTGCAAACGGGCTTCACTTTTGTTTATTTGAGGTCATCGCTGATGTCATCTCGGCTGGGGAATGGGCTTTTAACATCATTTCTTTTCTGGAGCCGGGTCGATGCTGAAGCTCCAAAATGAAACGGGGGTGTCCTCCTTCCTTCCGCCGTTTCTTTTTGCCTTTCAGAGACAAATCAGGAAAGTTTGCTGAGCTGAGATGTTTGTTGCTTGAATCTGCTGGAGCCGCCTGTAACAACATAGCTGGGGCAGGGTGAGGTTCCGGGGGAATAGGAAATGAAAACCTTGTCAGCCCAAAAAAATTCCTACGGTGGCAAAAAACCAAAGCAAACCAAAGCTAAATATAGCAGGGCCCGTGAGTTCGCTTTGACTTCTGGTGAATGCTTGTGGTGGGGAAAAAGAAAAAAAGGTCACTTTTAAAACAAAATAAACCCCAACAAAAGTTGTCTTGCCGATGTTCTGCTTTGGGCGGCTTTTTGCCGGGGCGTTGGGGCAAGAAGCAGCTGTGTGGAGCCCCCCGGGTGGCTTTCTTAGCTTAGAAAGAAGCATTTGAAGAAACAAAGTGTATTTTAAAAATTACACGTCAGCTGGAGCAACGCGTCCCAGTGTGATGTCGTGGGTTTACTGTTTTATACAAGTTTTGAGATGGATTCGTGTGCTGGGGTGGCCCCTGGTGGTGCTGGGGGTCGGGGAATTGCCGTGGGGATGCAGGGTTGGGCTGTCGCAGCGGGCAGGACCATGGGACATGCATCGAGCCGGGGTGGAGATCAGCCGTTCTCCCCTCCGCAGCTGCGCTAGCGCTTTATCTGCTGGCAGCGATTCCCCTCACTCTGCTCCCGCCTCCTTTCGGAGGGTCCCGACGCGCTGTTTCGTGTTTGCTGGGGCCGTGCCCACAGGAGCCGTGGCTGCGTGCAGACATTTTCCATCACGCCCTGTTCATGCGATGGGAGACTTTCTCCCAGAGTTCTTGTTTGCTTCGCAAATTTTTTTAACGGGTCCCTCAATACACATAAAAATGACGGATGCGCTCTCTGTTTCCCCGCTCTGTTTTTCTCTGCCCGGAGCAGATGGCCGGTGCCGAAGCTGTTGGCGTGGGCTCCTCCGGCGCCGGCGTGGGGCTCGTTGCGGTGCCTCGGGATGCTGCAGCTGGGTGCTGCCGATGGGAACTCAATTTTAAATGGCTCTGATGGAGCAAGCAAGCTCTTTGCACCGGCTCCAATGCCCAAAAGCCACTTGCTGGTGCTTTGTGGGAATGCCACACTTGGTGCAAACTCCCATCCGCCTCACGCTGCCCGGAGCCCATCACCCGAGGACAGGCACCAGGGCAAACACTGGGGTTGCTTCTGGAGGAAAGTGGTGGTCCCTGGTGTGCCGGGTGCTGTGCGCAGGGACGCACCCCGAAACTTGCTGTGCATGGATAGAGAGCCAGGATGCTCTGGCAGGGCTGGGGCGATGCGTGACACGATGCCGAATCCCCAGCAATGCTTTAACCCTTTATCCATTCAGGCTGAGAGAGTTGGGGATGTTCAGCTTGGAGAAGAGAAGGCTCTGGGGAGACCTTAGAGCCCCTTCCAGTGCCTAAAGGGAGAGCTGGGGAGGGACTTTTTACAAGGGCATGGAGTGATAGGATGAGGGAGAATGGCTTCAAACTGGAAGAGGGGAGATTGAGATGAGATATGAAGAAGAAATTCTTGGCTGTGAGGGTGGTGAGCCCCTGGCGCAGGTTGCCCCGAGAAGCTGTGGCTGCCCCATCCCTGGAGATGTTCAAGGCCAGGTTGGACGGGGCTTGGAGCAACCTGGGCTGGTGGGGGGTGTCCCTGCCCAGGGCAGGGGGTGGCACTGGATGATCTTTAAGGTCCCTTCCAACCTAAACCATTCTGTGTTTTTTCCCTCAGACTCCAAAGTCTTCCTTATCTACAACGCGGGCGTGCAGGGCTGCCTGGAGACGAAGGACTCGCTGGTGAGACTCGCCAAGGGCTGCAACGCCAGCGCCCCGGCCCAGCAGTGGAAATGGGTCTCGCGAAATCGCCTCTTCAACGTGGGGGCCATGCAGTGCCTGGGGGTGTCCTGGCACGGGGCCAACGCCACGGCGGGGCTGCACCCCTTGGCCACCTACGAGTGTGACCGCGAGTCCGTCAACATGCGCTGGAGCTGCCGCGGCCTCGGGGAGCAGCTCTCCCAGCATCTCGGCGCCCGCCCGGGCAATTCCTCCCTGGACAGGGGGGACCAGGCGCGCGGCTCGCAGTGGAGGACCTATGGCACCGAGGAGGATCTGTGCTCCATGCCGTACTCTGGTAATGCCTCGTTGAGCGTTAGTGTTATCCCGTAACCCAAACCAGCCCCAAAACGTGAGCTGAGGCCGCGGTGCTGCAGCAGTCGGGTCGTGCCTGGGGGGCTTGGCTGCAAAACCAGGCAGGATTGGGGCAACAGGGATCAGCGGAACGGAGCAGGCGGCCCCTGCACCCCTCACCCTAAACCTCCCCCAGCCCCCCATAAACACAGCCTCAAGCAAGGGCTCCTCTTTCCCCGCAGAGATTTACACCATCCAGGGCAACTCGCACGGGAAGCCGTGCACCATCCCCTTCAAGTACGACAACCAGTGGTTTCACGAGTGCACCAGTACGGGGCGGGAGGACGGCCATCTCTGGTGTGCCACCACCCAGGACTACGGCAAGGACGAGCGATGGGGCTTCTGCCCCATAAAGAGTAAGTGTGGCGGACGTGTCCCGTGGGGGACGTGTCCCATGGGGGAAGGCAGAAACCTCGCGTTCATCCCACCTGGGGGCTTTCCTGCCTCTCCCCTTTCCTCCTGGCTCATCCTTCCTCCCATGAGCAGCCTGCGGTGCCAGAGCAGCCCCACTGGCTTCTCGTTGTGTTGCTTTTGGGGGTTATTGGGTGTTGCTATTGGGGATTATTACCATCCCTGGAGGTGTTTAAAAAAAGGGTGGATGTGGTGCTTAGGGACATGGTTTAGAGGTGGTTTTGTCAGGGTAGGTTGATGATTGGACTTGATGATCTTAAAGGTCCCTTCCAACCTCATCAATTCTATGATTCTATTCGGGGGTTTTGGAGCTGCGGATGGGGCTGTGTTGGGTGCTCACTGTGCTCATCCCCACAGGCAATGACTGCGAGACCTTCTGGGACAAGGACCACCTCACCAACAGCTGCTACCAGTTCAACTTCCAGTCGACGCTGTCATGGCGGGAGGCCTGGAATAGCTGTGAGCAGCAAGGGGCCAACCTGCTCAGCATCACCGAGATCCACGAGCAGACCTACATCAACGGTGCGGCGATGGCAGCCTGCCTGCGCGCCCGGGGCAGAGCTGGTGGCACAGTGGCCACCACCAGTCCTGCCCTGGGTGGTTGGTTTGGGGATGGTGACAGGCTGGGGCTTGAGTTTGGGCCGGTGGTACTGATCCTGCCCCTCTGGCTGTGTCGGTCCCAGGGTTGCTGACCGGGTACAGCTCCACGCTCTGGATTGGGCTCAATGACCTGGACATCAATGGAGGCTGGCAGTGGTCGGACAACTCACCCCTCAAGTACCTCAACTGGGAGAGCGGTGAGCTTGGGGGGGTTATGGTGGTGGTGGTGGGGCTGGGGAGCTGTCTGTGACCACCGGAGATGGCCCCATGACAGGGGAGGTGACCCTCCTACTGGGCTACTGTGGGGGGTCCCCTTCCTGCCAGGGGATGGAGAGCCTCATGGGTCTGCAGAGCAGCCTGGGACATCTGTGGAGCAGGAGGGGGGAGAGAGGGTGCTGGAGGGGGAATTGTCCCTCTGCAGACCCTCCGTAGCCCTGTGGATAACCTGGGTTGAGCGCTCTGGTCTGGAGAGTCATTGCATCCCAGCTCGGTGCCGGAGTGCAGCTGAGGAGTGGTCCCCAACTGCAGGTGCCCATCTCTAACCCTGGGGTGCTCGTGGGGCAGAAGGACCCACTGCGAGGGCTGCTCTGGTCATGGCCGGTGCTGTCACCCAGAGGCACTTATGGGGACAGTGATACCCTCAGAGGAGGTTTGGGGACAGATGGGAACAGTTGAGGTCTGGTACTGTGTCCTCTCCCAGCTGCCATCCAACATTTGTAGGTAGAATAGCGATGCTCCAGGTCCTTGCGCAGCGAGGCACAATAAATAATCCCGGGCATGTGGGGTCACATCTTCAGCGTGCCAAATAACAAAATAAATAGGTCTTTACTGGTGTTAGAGCAGGGAGAGCTGCACCGGTGCCCTGCCTGCGTGGGCAGCGTTGGTGGCTCTGCCCCGGCTCCTCAGCAGTGTGTGTCCCCCCTCACCCCGTTTTCCAGACCAGCCCGACAACCCCAGCGAGGAGAACTGTGGTGTGATCCGCACCGAGTCGTCCGGGGGGTGGCAGAACCGCGACTGTGGCATTGCCCTCCCCTATGTCTGCAAGAAGAAGCCCAACGCCACCGCCGACCCC